TGAATGCGTTTAAGCATGTCTGAATGTGGGTTTCAGTCTGCCTGAATGTGTCTCAGCGAGCGTGCGCGTGTATACGCGTGTTGCTGCGTGTGTGCGTGTGTGTGTGTGTGTGTGTGTGTGAGAATCGATGCTCTGGATCACAGCCAGTGGCCCCCTTCTGTTCTCTCTCTATGGCGTCCAATCACACCGTGGCACAATATTCTCTGTGCAAACTGCAGCTGATCCCAGACCTGCTATCTGAGCAATTACCCAGAGTGCTTTGGGGCTGCATGGCAAGCTGGACAAGCTCATGCCCTCTGACATACAGCATAGGTGTGAGTGTTGGGGGTGGGAAGGTGAGAGTGAATCTGGTGTGTATCTGTGTGAGGGGAAGACAGAGAGTTAAGGTGATGGTTGGGGTGTGTGTAGGTGTGTGTGTGTGTCTGTACAGCGACAGTGTGACTGTCTACATTAAAAGATGGATGCCGACTTGGTTGCAATGGGGGATGGGAGATTGGCCCACTGGATGGAATTATGATCATTACTATAATACACTGCACAGCAGACTCTACAGGGTAGGAATGTGTAAACATGTAGGTTTAGGTCAGTATGTCAGCACTTTGGTACTAATCAGCACAGGTCATGGTCTATACAACTCAGTAGGCCCCGTTGCCAGTTTGTACTGAAATGTTCCCGTTTCATCTTTTCCTTTTTCTGTTTCGAACCCCAAAGTGAATCGATTAACATGAAGTCGAACTTAGACTTAGACTTGTACTTTATTGATCCCTTGGGAAGACTCCCTCAGGAAATTAAAGTCGCATCAGGTTATGTTAGTGCAATACTTTTTGGAATAAATACCAGTTATTTTGCTCCAGATCTGCTTTTAGACTCATGACATAAGGCAGTTCTTGATCCCGGATCAAATTAAAAATTCTTTCAGCAACAATCAGATTATGATTTATTGGGAGTGATTTGTCACAAAACTATTTATTCTTACAACGAGTGTCTTATAAAAAGATTAATTGATAGAAATGTGTCAGTTGTTGGAGGATATGAAATGTCCCCTTGTCAGATGTGAATTAACAGTTTGTCTGCATGAAGCAAATACATGTAAACTGCTGTAAAATTACTAAATAAATTGGCAAAGGAGCTGAATGACTAGGACCTAATCTTAAACTCAGATCATCCATTTTCAATTGCCTTAACAAAATGCTGGTAATTTTCTTCCCATTTTGTACCATTTTGCAGATTTTGCATAAAACAGCCAAAATCAATCAATCCTTATGTTATCTGTATTTTTATAATTCTTCTCATCGTCTGCTGTAGAGGATTGCAGGTTTTGTTTTGATCCGGGGTCGTAATCTGAGGTTTCATTTAAACTGACCGGTCAAATCAGGGATTAGAGCAGTAATCAGTGGAAACAGGTGTAATTTCCTTCAGAAAATAACAGTTGAATTATACGTGAGACTAAGCCCTTAAATGATGAAGTAATTTAGTAAGTAAAGAAAAATAAACTGATGGTTCTACCAGTTGGGTAGGAAGAAGAAAAGACATCATGGTTACATTTCTAATGAGCCACCTAAATAACAAAATAGGAGAAACATGACACTTTATAAATCAGATTTCCATTAGTGGCACTGCAAAGGTTGGCATATGTGGCACAGAAGTGGATGTGCAGAATGAAAATATCCATTTCTTTAAGGTAAGCCGAGAGTCACCCACTCTCCTCGCAAAGTTCTCCATGTTTCAGACAGGCAGCAAAGGAAAATAAGAGTAAAACAGCACACAGCAGACCAAATGCAGCTTTTCATTGATTTTAATAGGACAGTATGATGTGGAAACATGACAGGAGACACAGGGGAGATAACCCAAGCAAGCACTGCTGTAAGCTATTCCCAGCAGTGTGCATTAACCCACTCGGCAATCGCGCCACCAGAACTTTTCTCCATGTTTTTCATCATCGGCTGCGAGACAGAGGGAGAGAAAGAGCTTGTTTCTCTCTCTAAGCTCAGTGAGATAAGACTGAAACAAGGTTTTCCCTGAGAGATGGAAATAGATCATAAAACAGAGAAACTGAAATGATTTCCCAGTCACACAGCCACTTATAGCGAGGCGGAAGACTCAGACACCAGTGAAGGAGTCAAACAGACTCAAGTGAAGGGGGATGATCACGTAATTCGACGGCATATAGGCATCCATGATCAGTGCCGCAGCTGTTCGGATTTAACGAGGAGGTGGTGGGGGGTAAAATGCCGATCTCCTTCATTTTCCCCAAAGATATCTAGTTAGCTGGGAAGCAGCTATACATATTTTTTAATGAAGAGCTACCACCCACATTCACCTTATCAAATCAGCCCTAGAGACTACAGCGGGAGTTGTGTTTGTATTTCTGAAGAGGCTGGCACTGGCAGAAGTTAAGGCAGAAAGTGATTTCAACTGTTCTATAAACTGCAACACTAAAAACGTTAAAAAAAAGATGAAAAAAATGGAAAAAAAACTCTACTCTGCTCCCTACTCTGCTCCCTGGTATGTTGCTGCATGACTCTGTGTTTTGCTCTGCTGTAGCTTCCTGCAAGCGCTGTGAATGAAACATGCATGTCCAGTCTGGCCCTTTGGCAACACCGACAGCACACAGAAAGCAAACATGTACAGCAACATCTAGTGGCCTCTCTCTGCCGTTGCAGTGTCCGAACAGAAAGGGACGCCGTCCTTTCACATCTCCCAAGAGCTTCACGACGCAGCGTGCGTGAACACTCGCACGCTTCGGACTGAAGAATTGCAAAGACATTAGTGCGAGGCAGCTGCCGTTTGGTGTGGCGTGATGGAGATAATTAGGACTCTATTTAGAGAAAGGGCCAGCCTTGGAAATACACAGGAGATCCTTACTTCATTAAAAATCAATTATCACAACACACGTGCCAGCTCAATACAGCTCTCATGGCCACAGTCTGCTAAACACACACACACGCACACATGTATGCAAATGTACTTATGGGCAACTCTAGCACTACTATCTTGGTCTTCTTTGGAAAATTCACCTCTAGTAGGTTCTCTCTCAAGCCTGATCCTCCTCTTAGCTAAGATATCGCCAGCGCTGCAGTCCTGCTCTTACATAATTACCTCAGGATAACACTCACTCACTGTCCCGCTGGCTGAGGATGCTGTCAGCCACTCTGCTCTGACTGGGTCGGCTTAGGTCAGAAAAAAGTCACCTCCCACCCCTGATAAAAGACATGCAGCCTGAGGGAAAGCAGAGTGGAGTGGAGCTTTTCCCGCTTGTGTTTTCCTTGCAAAGGGGATGCTTGTCAAGCACGGCTCGTGGAATATCTGAATTATTCTTCTTTCAGTTCAGTTTTCTGCTGCAAGCTTGAAGCTCCGGGTTTGCCTCTGTAACGTAGAGTCATGTCTCACATAACAAAGCATCGTCGGTGACTTCCCTGTACGCAGAACAAATGGCACGTCTCGATCCTGTCACATGTATAAAACACCGCTGAAGTTCAAACCGCGTCGATGCAGAAGTGGGAGTATTTTCATGAAGCATTCACAAAGCCTCAGCTGCTCGGATAGGGCCGACAGACGATCACTGGTGACATGTTGTGTTGGCTTCACATGCGGATGACATCACTTCCTCCAAGAGTGTGACGGTTTAGCACATCATTGCTTCGACATCCAGACGGGTACGGCGAGTGGGCGGTCACCCTGGCAACAGCGATGCTGTCATGACTGTCTCTATGTATCCCACCTGACAGTTGCCACTGGCTATAAGCATAACACACACACACACACACACACACACACACACACACACACACACACGCACACACCCACACACACATACACACACACACGCATGCATGCTCCATAATGCTACACTCCCACACAAGCAAGCAAATACAGTTTGTCAAACACACACACACACACACAAGGACCCATGCATTACTATTCCTGGCATCATTTTTAGAAGTTAAATGCTCAAAAATGTCTCCGAAACACATACTTAAACAAAACACAAGCCCACACGCCCAAGCTCTTTTGGGCCTCGTTATGTGATACAAAGAAGAGCATAATCTCCCGAAACATGGTGAAGACGGGATGTAAATACAAAGAGCTTGTTTCAACCGCCGTCATTAACTGCGTATAAAATAGCATGCACATCACACAGCTGTGAGTGTGAAGTAAACATGCACTGCTTGAACCCAAAGACCTTCACTTAGCTGCAGAGGCACATGATAACCAACAAGTATGAGCCAAATAACCAAAACTGAGTGTGAAATACAGAGTGAGATAAGTGATGAAGACAAATATAAACCAACTTACTATGTTATAGCCATGGACCATGGGATCACTGTATTGCAAGGTTTTGAAAATCCAGTTCCCAATCCACAATCATTTCCCTTTATATCACACCAACGGAGATAATTGAAGTTCAGCTTCTTGTTTATCTTTCAGATTACCCATATATTGATCACTCTATTCAACAGACTCGTGGTCCACAAATTAATTAGATATTTTAGCTTTAGTCTATGTCTCAAATTATTTTTAAAAATGGTAAAGACACCACTATTGGAAGTGTATAATGTACATTGTACACTTAATCTAAATATTATATTTTCAGCACAAGGAATAGTTCTTGATTTTCTGCTCTAAACAAAACGCAAATAGATCATGTTGGTGCATTTCGTTTAAACGTTTTGTATTAAAACCTTGAAATTGTGGTACTTTTTGCAATGGTTCTCACAGAAACCGGCGACCTTCTGCCCATGCTCACCTCATTACTGCTCCGTCTTCTGACTGCTGCTCACGTTTGGTCTGTTGACATCATCCGTTTCTCGGGTGGAACTGACCTGTTTTGCAGCCTATTAATAGTGCGTCACAGACCCACGTTCATTGACAGCTCTGTTTGGACTCTGTGTGCTGTCCAAGTCCAGCACTCCACTGTGACCCAGTTTGCAGCCGGATGACCGAGAACTGGTGGAAATGGGTCACATCGGGGTCCACACCAAAACTCAAGAACATGAGCTCTTTTTTAAATTTTTTATTTTACTTAAGGTACTGAAGATATTTAACAAATAATAATTTGATATTGAATATGCAATGAACACGTAATGAGGCCAATTAGATACTGTTAACCCAAAATTATTCATAGATTTGGGTTTAAAGTAATCTTCTAGTTTTACCAACATATTTCTTCTGACTTAAATTTGAGAGAGAATCTGTAAATGGATCTAAAGATTAGGGTGATGACAAAGAGGTCTTCCAACTCCAGAGATAAATCACCTCAACACCAGTGGAAATCAGTAAAAAGCTGCTCACTAATTATGTATAATTTCATTACTGTAATGCCAAAAAAAAACTAATGTTTTTCCACTGGTAAAAATTATTTTCAACATCACATCTTTTATGAAAATGTATATTAAAAAAATAAAACATTTTCTCCTTTTGAATTAGAAACAAACTTCTTTGCAGAAAGAAAATAATTAAAAACCAAAATCTGCCAGGAGGTTGAATCATTTTGTTTGTAACATTTTATGCCTCTTAATGACCAGAAGGAGACGAGAAAGTGAATGAGAGAAAAATGAAAATGATAAACTGTTAAACTTAGTAGCAAGTAAATAAGTCGTCAGTAAGAGAAATTATCTGTCAGCAGAAAACCCGAGACTGGACTTGGTTTTGAAATGTTCTAAAAAGAAAAAGAGATTTGAATCAAATTTTCTAATAACCCTCCATCATAATGAACTCAACCTGCTTTTGCTTCTCATTTTGTTCATTATTGGATGTACATCTCCGTCATTAGTTTATAGATAGCTGCGATCGGCTGTACCTGCTCAGTTGCGAGACAGACAGAAATGACTCCATTGATCCTCATAAGTCATTATCCAATTATGCATACTGCAGACTCATTCTACCACAGACACTCACACATACACACCTGTACTCTCTTTGTGTAGAAATACAACTATAGTTACATATGCATAGCATATTTATAACTGACATATGTATAAAGATGCACCTTTGAATATATTAAACATGCATATAAGAACACACAAGCAATAGAAAGTATTGTATTTGCATCAATGAGGTACTAGTTAGAACTACTTGCAGGAAGGATGCATGGATTCACCACATCTGCTTGTGAACCTCTCAGGAATTTCCTAAATTCATGCAGGACTTTCCCACAGGTAGGACTGTGCAAGGAGATTAACACGTGAACGGCTGTTTCAGCTGAGGGTAAGGCAGCACTCAGCAGAGGAGGGAACCAGCTCATAAGGAAACAATTTAGGATTAGTTAGGCTGTCTAATCTCTTTATAGAGACTGTGCCGTCTCAGCAGCATACCTGCCGACCTCCGCATCCACGTACAGCCATCATTTTATGGGGAGTGGCGTTGCGCTCCGTTCGCATGACATGGCCGGCCGCGCTCAGAGACAGACACAACGGGCGTTTCTCTGAGCCGAAGTAGTTTCTGTGCATGTTCTGTGCCTTTTGCTTGGGAGTGCACATGGAGCTGCCTCTTCACAGTGAGTAAGATGACGTAGTTTGACGAGTGCTTCTGCAGGATAGGAGTTGTGAGAGAGAACAGAGAAGATGAACACGAAGAGAAAGTGTGGCACTTCAGTGATGTAACCAGTTTTCTCATTATGGGACAAGCCTTTTAACCTGCGGGGGTCTCTCTGTACTTCAGTCCAAACACAAAGAATCCACTCACAGTCGCGTCATGTACTGTTGTGCGTGGATGTTTGTGTGCGAACGTTTAGTGTGCACTTACGCAGCCATAAGTGCCCCAGTTAGCAGAAAACTCCTGCAAAGACATAAATGGCCATATGTCACCGTGCCCTTGTGAATTTGAAGCCACACACAAATAGCATCCTGGGACACTTTGTGAGATCAATCAGTTACTGATGGCAACTTTAAATGAGACCCCCAACAGGGCTGCTGGACCGCTGACTGAACAAGGTGGAGTTCAGGGGAGCCAATGTCTGCAATGAGTCCTGGATGCAATTTTTAATCCAAATCGTTTCTGTCTTCTCGCTGTTGTTTCCCCCTCCACAGCCCAAATCGAAGTTATACCATGCAAAATCTGCGGAGACAAATCGTCGGGTATCCACTACGGAGTCATTACGTGTGAAGGCTGTAAGGTAAGATCTAATATCTGAGGAGGGGAAAGGAATCGCATACTAAATCATATTGTGCATGTGCTCTACAGGTGTCCGGGTGTTGACTTCTTTTTGTTCTTGTTGACTTGCAATCAGGGTTTCTTCAGACGGAGTCAGCAGAATAATGCCTCCTACTCTTGCCCCCGCCAGAGAAATTGCCTCATCGACAGAACCAACCGCAATCGCTGCCAACACTGCCGTCTCCAGAAATGTCTTGCCCTAGGAATGTCCAGAGATGGTGAGACCCCGTTTGTCTCCATTACTATATTTGATGGCATTTCTTTTAGGGCTGCAAGTAAGGATGATTTAATGTTTTGAATAATCTTCAAAAGATTATTCTACCGATTGTTTTGAAGATTAATCAGACAAAAGGAAACTGGCACATTCAACAATTTTTTTGTTTGACCGCTGAAGTCCTTTTACACAATGTTAGAAATACATTGAAATGCAAACAACTAATTCAATTCCTTTTCTAAATAAGAAAATAAAGATTTTAGTGGTTAAAATGCAATAACATAGTATTCCTTTAGTGAAATTGAACTGGGTGAAGGTAAAACTAGGCAATTTGAGAGTTTTGGTCAAAATATATTTACAGACAAAGGTGTTTTAATCTTAAATGCAAAATCTATATTTATAATTTATTGTGCAGTTTTGGCTTCAGTAATGTTCTGGCTATGTTTTTTCAGCTCATATGGCTTTTTTTTTGGAGTCTGTCAGTAAATTATTGGTCATGTTCTAAATTGGATGACTTTAATTTCATTGATCGATTCATCACGATTAATCGTTTCAGCCCCAATTTCCTTACAAAGCTTTAATGAGCCCGTTTTAGTAGCATTTTTTTCCACCTTAGCTTCTTCTTTCTGCCCCTACAGCGGTGAAGTTCGGTCGCATGTCCAAAAAGCAACGAGACAGTCTGTATGCAGAAGTCCAGAAGCACCAGGCCCGGCTGCAGGAGCAGCGGCAACAGCAAACCGGTGAAGCCGAAGCTCTGGCTCGTGTTTATTCCTCCAGCCTAACCAATGGACTGTCCACCCTCAACCATGAAATTGGGGGCACGTATGCCAACGGTCACGTCATAGAGCTACCCAAAGGTAGCCACGTCAACGGCGGAGGAGTCCCCAGCGGCTACTACGGCATGGATTCCACCCAGCCGTCTCCAGACCAGTCAGGTTTGGACATGTCGGGCATGAAGCACATTAAGCAGGAGCCCGTTTACGACCTCACGCCTGTGCCAAACCTGTTCAGCTATGGAGGCTACCAGGACAGCCAGTTTGGGCCACATAACGTCAGCATGGGAGAGCTTGGTAAGGACTGAACATTTACTCTATGGGAGAAATAGTTTAATCCTTAAAAAAAACTGCTATGATCTTCCTCATAGGAAATTAATCATTACCCTCAAAGTAAGTCTGGAAGAAAGTGTTTAATCTGAAAGCACAACAGGAGAACGGGCTGGCTTATGCGGCCAGCTGACAATGTGTCATATTACTGTGAGGACACCTCTGGCCGACTGCATACTTAGTCAAAATTAAACACTTCAAATCAAATAACTGTGGAATTTTGCACAAGAAATACTTGAGCCTCTTCCTCTAAACTGCCTATAGCTGCAGCACTACATGTAAAGAAATGCAGGTTCCTACAACAATTTAACTGTAAATAAAAAATATTTAAGTACACTGGTGTGGTGTATGCAAAAGATTAAATGGCTAATGCTCTCTTCCAGACCGGATCGCTCAGAATATCATCAAGTCGCACCTGGAAACATGTCAGTACACAACAGAGGAGCTGCAGCAGCTCGCCTGGCAGACACATTCCTATGAAGAGGTCAAGATGTACCAGAGCAAGGTGAGCTTTCAGGACATGTTTCTTTTTTTTTTTTTTTCAGTTCTCTTCTAAAAAACATGATGGAGTAAAATAAAAACAACATTTTCTGATTCTGTGTCAACGACTAAAACAAAATGTAGCTTTCGATCCTTTATTGATATGAATGTAACTATGTCAGCATAAAGCTCGCATACCTAAACTGGACTTGGGTGCTTGCAGCCACGGGACGTGCTGTGGCAGCAGTGTGCCATCCAGATCACTCATGCCATCCAGTACGTGGTGGAGTTCGCCAAGCGCATCTCAGGGTTCATGGAGCTGTGCCAGAACGACCAGATCCTCCTCCTCAAGTCAGGTGAGCTGTAGGGCCAGGTGCTGCTGCGTTAGCTGACTTTCTGCTCATTACAAACGATTTTTCTCATGAGAATTTTGTTTCTGATTTGCACAGACGGAGCTCAAATTTGAAATCAAGTCAGTTTCTGAACCACATTTAGAAAATCTGATTTTGATTATTTGTTTTTGGCCCTTAGGTTTACATATGTATCACATACAATTACATAGAAACTCCAATAGATACCTAAGATGTTATAAAAGTCACAAAAAGACATAAACATTATACACTTTTGTGTGTGGGTATTTTTATTAAGATCAAAGGCAACATCACCCTTTTATGAGAGAAGAGTCTCTGAAAAATATTTATTTTAAAGGCCAGATGATTACATGTCCAGGTGTTACCAAAGCAGCAGAATCCCTACATACCAAGATGTAAATGCTTGTACCTTTGATCTGTGATCTCTAAGATGGTGGCAACATTTCTAAATCCTGCACCTTATAAGAGAGAGAGTCTGAAAGCTTCAGCTTTCCTGTTGTCTCCTGAAAGTCTGTTTCTCTCTCACGGCCTGAATTAACGCAAAATAAGTTTGTCTTATGAAAAATAGTTTCCTTTGAAGCAGCTTTCTACATCTTCTGTGCTTTTACTGACTCCATTAGAAAAATTACTTTTTATTTTGTTTTTTTAGTTTCTGTCTGGCTGATCATTGTTCAAAGCTTATCCAGCTGAAAAGAGATCATTTCTCTGAAAAACAGTCTCTGTTAATCACCCTGTTTTTCCAATGTCTGAATTATTCTTTCAGGTTGTTTGGAGGTGGTCTTAGTGCGAATGTGTAGAGCCTTCAACCCTCTGAACAACACTGTGCTCTTTGAGGGGAAGTACGGAGGAATGCAGATGTTTAAATCTCTAGGTACCACATTTATTTTTATGCATTTTTCTTTCTTCAATAATTGACAAAGCAGAAAGAGGATCATAATATTGTTGCTTGTCTTATCTCCATGTCCTGAAGGTTGTGACGACTTAGTGAGCGCAGTGTTCGACTTTGCCAAGAGTTTGTGTTCACTGCAGCTAACGGAGGAAGAGATTGCGCTTTTCTCGGCGGCTGTACTAATTTCCACAGGTCAGTGTTCATCCACAGCTGTGATGACAGTTCATCCAGCATATTTAAAAAGAAGCGAAACAATATTATTACCGCGGTGATGCTCGTCTGTAGGCACGGGCCACTGTCAAGGTAAACCAAAAGTCGCGGTTTCAAAACCGCTAAACTGATGAAGTGTTACCCATCTCTCCTGTTAGGGCGATGCAGTTTTAATTGGAGAAATTCAGTTTGTTCAGTTCTGCCATTGTGGAGAGTGGTAAACCACCCCATAGAGCATCTGCTCTATGCTTTTTCCAGTCAGTGAATCGGTCAATCATTTGTTCGCAGATCGACCGTGGCTGATGGAGCCTCGAAAAGTCCAGAAGCTCCAGGAGAAGATCTACTTTGCTCTGCAGCACATTATGCAGAAGAACCACATGGACGAAGATGCACTAGCCAAGGTGGGCTGAAGAATTTTCACACAACAATTTGAAGTCCGACAATAGGTTGTCTGGGGTTGGAGATAGTTGGAGTGATTATCTTGTTGTTGATAATCTCTTCTCGTTTGGCAGCTGATCAGCCGGATCCCAACACTGTCCGCCCTGTGTACACTCCACACCGAGGAGCTTCAGGCATTCCAGCAACTCCACCCAGAAACGGTGAACGTCCTCTTCCCTCCTCTCTACAAGGAACTGTTTAACCCCGACCCGAACTCTGCCATGGCCATGCCTAAGTGACCGCCTACGGTCCGAATGCAATGAACAGCTGTTGAAAGAGGACCAAGAAATTATGTCAGCTTTGTCTGACGAGACGCGGGCGGAGGTGTCAACTGCGTCGTTCTGGCAACCACAGATTTTCTAAGCTCCCCCAGGCTCGTCTCAGGCTGGAGGGAGAGGATTCGTCTACTAGAAACTTAAAGAGTTAACGCCAACAACACTAGGAATGTCCTGCACTTATCCCATTCTGTTCACCGATACAGTCTGAAGAATGTATATACAAGTGAAGCGCGCCCCGAGCCACCACCTCAGAGGGGCTTCCACGTGTCTCCTGAACTGAACTGACTAGAAATGTACAGACTTTCAAGACAACTCGAAACAGTTTTACGCTGTCAATTTTTATTTTATTTTTTTTAAAAGGTGGGTAAATTCAATTGATTTAATCTTGAAAAAAAAAATTCTTTTTTTTTTTTTCCCCAATGAAAACATTGCAAATTTGGCGAAGCTGGATGGGGGAGGGAACTGTGGATGTAGAGAAGCTATTGTAGATATTCCTCTAGTTGAGAGCGGATTCCAGTATTATTTCTTGTTCTGTTAAAATAAGTTAGTCCTAATTTAAATATACAGCAGTCCAGAGAGGATGATGATACCTTGTCTATGTGTTTTATTTTATTTGATAGATTCTTGTGTACAGAATTTGTAAAGTTGAGACCTGTAAAAGGAAACTGGGCAAAAACTGGGGGCCAATTTTGGGTTTGTGGAAATGCAGAAGCCTTGTCTGGATTTTGTTCATATGTATAGAAGGGGTTACTGTCCTTCTGATCAAAAGTTATTGAAATGTAAAGAGAGAATATGAAGGATTTAAACAGAAAATAATGGCTACTACTTTTCAAGGTGAAGATATATACATAAATGTTCTATTTTGCAAGGAAAAGAACTTGGCAGATTTGCCGTCCTATCAGTCGTTTATTTCACGCTGCAATAATTATGTCCAATGCTAGGTAGATTGCTGTGGAACAATCAATCACAATGAACCAATCAGAAACCAGGACCTCACATTGAAGCTCACGCCGTCTCCTAACTTAGCCTGCTGTTAAATACGCCTATTGGGACTTTCTCAGTAGGTTTTGGAAGATATAAATCAAAGACATGTCATACATGTGCTGATGATCCTTAAAAATGTGAAAAAAAAAACATCCACACAAACTTGAATTGAAAACACTTTTTGATTACTGAAACGTAGATGAGTGCTGTACGCCCTCACCGTCCAATTTGCACAATCCAGCCCACGGATGTCAGTGGGCTGCGAATATGTAGGACCCTTTTCTTTAGAAAGCAATAACTTTCACACAGCATGTCTGGTCTTACTCCACTCCTTTCCCTCATCTCGCACCCCTCTTCTGTCAACTGTTCAAGAACAGGGTAACAACTTTTATAACTAAGGATGCAATATGTCGTTTGCTCTTGATCTCCAGTTGTGTCTCAGAATCATCTTGGTACGCGTTCCCCTGCTACCTCTGCTGTGTTTTCAGTGTAGCAAAACCTCATCGTTGCAATGCAAACAAATGCAGCCGCCAATGATCTCAACACCACATGTAGCCGAGCTTTAACGGAGGCCACTTTTGTGGAAAGTTGTGTTAGACAATCACATTTTTTTCCTCCACTGAGGCATTCCAATAACTGTTAGCACTTAAACACTGTACCTTGTTTTTTTCTTATTTAGTGTTTGGACACTGTAAAATCACTCTGGGCTTGAGTCAGCCTTTATCCTTGTGAAGGAACAAACTGAAAAGTCAATACTGCATGTATAAGCATCTCATGAGCCATTGACCAAAATGATCCCCCCTTTAGAGTGAGGGTTCACCCAACGTCAGGGTGGAAAATTATCATGAGAATTGTAATGAGAAATCACATTTAGAAGTAAAAATTATACCATATTTATGACATAAATGCTTCCTCTTTCAACTATTAGTTTGGGTCTTATCAGTTTTTGACCTGCGGGTTGAACAATGAAGAAAAATAAATAAAAATTTGGGAGCTACAACTCTAAACACTTAATGCTACACTTAATGCTCATCTCCTTAACAAAATGACAATCTAGCTCAAATGTATTTTTCTTTGTACCTCATATTTTGATGCCATAATTAGTGGGCTGTGATCTAGTGCTATGAAGCACTCTAAATGGGTTTCTCATGCTTGAATTTTTTTTAAAATTATTATTATTATTTATTTGCACAGTGGCCAAATCCTCCAGCGGATATATCCAGGGACACAGTTAGACTTGTAATTCATCAGTTCAGCATCAGTGGCACTGGGACTCATTGCATTGAAATCCTTCTGTGCATTTGTTTCCATTATAGCAGGGGGGGGGGAACAATCAGAAATCTGTTCCACCATTAATGGCATTTTTCTTTTAAACGCAGCGGCTTTCATTGAACCCCACCCACAGATCGGAGGCCAGTCACTCTTAAAGACAATCACTTGGTAAAGGCTCGATGCACTACACAGCATCTCTCAGGGAGCAGCTCTTTTTCTCACTTTGCATTAAAAGAGGGTTTAATATTTTTGGAAATTTACTGAAATAAATAAATAAAACTTTAAAAGAAGAACTTTTTAGGATTTTCAAAAAATCTGCCCAGACAAGGCTTTGATAGACTTATGCCTATACTTGTACGTTTGTGTGTATGTGTGTAGAGGATGAATTCACTGTCCGTGTTTTGTAGCGAGCCAGAGTTCATGATGAGCAATTTTTACACCATAAATGGGTATGGGGATTAAGAGAAAAGTAAAAAAAAAAAAAAAAAAAAAAACTTTGGGCTATAAGCTCTTGCTTGCTGGTCTTAGGACAGTGGGTGAAGTCCACTGGTGGGACAGCGATCCTGGGACAGTGAATTCCGACTCTAAAGTTTTTATGTCTTGTTTTTTTTTTCTTTTGTTTTGTTTTGCTTTCCCTCGTTAGACTGTGAATCAAAAGGGTGGAACGGGGAGCCTTGAGGCGGGGTGGGAGGGATGGTGACGCATTGGCATGAACAAGTGGTACCCAACACTGTAAGTAAGATACTGTAGCAATAAAAACTGGAGGCATTTACTACTGTCATGTTTGCATTGTAAGATTATTTTTATGTTAATACTATTTACTATTATTATTGTTCTTATTATGACTACTATTCTTCTATTACTATTAGCCTATTGTTGTTCTGTTCTATTTGCATGACGTTTCATTGCAATGAAATATTCTGGACTTATTTGTGTTTCCTCCTCTCTTGATGACGTGAGGGAGATGTTTGAAACGGTGGGTTAAGGGTTTAAGGCAAATTTCACACCACTTTATTAGTCAGTTCAAAACAAGTTTTTGACATGCTGAATTATCTTTTTTTTATTTTAAATAAAATGTCTAATTTATATGGAAACAATTTGAAATTTGTCACTGGAAATGAAATGTTTTTCCCACCCTCTGAATGTGCGGATTACTACAAATCAGTAAGTTAATGATCTGTATTAAACTGGCCTTTTGGAAACCCTACACCTGCAGTAGGGCAGTGAAGGGGGGCGATGTGGCAGGGTTATCTATTCTGAATGTTATGGAGTAGCTTGTTCAGCATGAGGCGGGAAAGGGGCTGAACACATCACGCGCCTTTTACTGCTCCATCAACACAGAATGACATCCGAGCGCACAGCAGCAGCCGTCGAGAGCTGCGCGGACATTTTATTACAGCCAATTTCAAAACCACATTTCATACACTCAGTCAAAACTCACTCCAGACCTCCTCCTCCCTTTTATGAAGAAAACGTGTGCGAGCTTGTGTGCGTGCGCTAGAGAAACAGAAGAGAGTGCGACGATGTTCTGCTCTACCAATGCTTTGTAAGACTTTCTTGATGCATTACAATGTCTGTGCAATTGGGAGTAGTTTTGAAAATTGTTAATTTATTTTTTACAATGTTTTTTTTTTTTTTTTTGCGTCCCAGCAAGAGCAAAATGAAACAAAAATGTAGCAATCTGTGTCTGGAAGCTGAAAAGTATCCAGGCCGCAGAATCTCTTTTTACACAGAATTTAAAATAAGATTAAAAAAATACCAACTTTAAAAAGTCATTTTATTTTCAAAGTGCCATAGTTAGTGAGGAGCTAAAGGATTGGCAGTATGGGGCATAGATGCTTTATTATGTGAGTTTACATGACAAACCAATAATGAAAAAATAAAATAAAAAAATAGGAGGGAACTCAAAGGAAAATGTGTACCGATGAATCGTTTTTACATTTTCTGCTTTTTTTCCCCACTTGTTGGAGACTCTGCTGGACTCTGAACATCTGGCTCCATTATATATATATATATATATATATATATATATATATATATATATATATATATATATATATATATATATATATAAACACAGAGTTGGAGCCTCCATTTTCACTTGAGGAGGAGAATGCATTTGCATGCATGCGTATGTTATTAAAGGGAGTCCTACACACCCAGAACTGGAGGGCCAGACTGGGGAGAGGTTCAGAGCTTTGTGGAGGCCTCAGTGAGTCCTCCTTTGAGATGTACATACAATGTGAAGGTCTGAAGTGATTTTTGTTAAATTCTATATTTTATTGCTTTTGTAGACATTTTGTTGTGGGAAGAAAAAAAATAAATAAAATAAATTTTATGGGTGCATCTCTGCCTTTTTTTTGGTATATTTTTAAGCTTTGCAGTTTGATTTTTTTCCATTTGAGCTACAACAATTCAGTGTGCAAGCTTACAATTATTCAATTATTTATTCTTTACAAAAAAGTACAAAAAATGTCTTATTTGTCATATTTTCTGTTTCTTTGCATTATATTTATATGAATTATGAACGCACAATATGAGCAAGTTTCCGCTGAAATAGACCAATCAGAAACATCTGATGGCAGACGTAGCTCTCTCTCACTTATCAGGCAGTTTACATTGTAAACAAACAAAAAAAGGCTAATATGGTTTCAGAAAAAACATCTTTGGTAGAAAAAGTGCATTTGAGCGTTATTTTATCTCAGTCAAGACGTTACATCTCGTTTTCATCGTCCTCTTCCTACCCCGACTCCGACTCTGCTTCGCTGCTGTTCTCGCCGCTGCCTGGGCGCCTCCTTAAACCTGAACAACAGAAACATCAGTTAGCGACACGCCACTCCAATAACACAGTCATTATCACAAGAAAGAGAATACTGACAGGCCTGGGAGGAAGTCCACACATCCAGCATGAATAATTTGGTTTGATTTGTTGGGAGATATCTTGGACAGGACACAAGAAAAGGAAGAGCAAACACGACGCACCTTTGAAATATCAAAACAACTGTGTCTGAGTGTTTGCCTTCGTGTGTTTGTTTGCCGGGCTTGTTTGTTTTCGAGTGCGGCTTCTTTCCGCGCCGTTATCCTCTAGATGCCGGTATCGTGTCTACCCAGAGACATTAATTAATAGCTAATCAAAGCTAATGTCTCAGCAGCACATTGCCAGCACAAAGACATGATTAATACGTAATCAAAGGCCGCGCAGCACAACGCACAAAGCAGGGCCCACCCCCATGCCTCTAACGCTACTGTTGTTAGAGAAATAAACGAAGACTCGCTGCTTAATTAGCTGGCTGCTGGTGCGCGCCGACTTCATTTGAAGTTGTCGGAGATTTCTTTCAGAGCCAACTTGGCCTTATGAGTGACGACAGAGAGGTGACATTCATGCAGAAAAATGCAGATGTGACAGGAAGCAACACGGTGATGCAAAACAACATAACTAGGGAGGAAATGTATTTTCTTAAGTATTCAATCATCACAAAAAAACATTATTTAGTTCCCTTGATGTTCTTTAGTCTGCCAATGTTCTCTAGCAAAGCTCCGAGGCAGATTTATGCTGAGATTAAATGAATTCAATAAGGTGCAATGAATTTTATTAATGGTAGGGTACGCCAAGTATTCCAGATATTAATAATGAATATCACTTTTGAAAATAAGTTTTCTTTGACTTAAGCGTTATGCATTACTTCATGTTGGTCTATCAGGTAAAAGCCAAATATCATAAATTGAAGTTTGTCGTTGTAAAGTGACAACATTTAGAAATCGTTCAAAACTTCTGGAAGGCTCCATATTTCTTGACTCTTACTTCCTCTTACAGCTGCATACTGATTTTAAAAATTTCTGACATTTCTGACCTTTTAGTCCCAGCCTGTGGCAGCAGAGGTTGCAGGAGTGTTTCTGCAGGAAGCCACTGATGGCATCGTCTCCAAGGTTATCAGGACCAAAGAGCACTTCACCCCTGCTGCAAAGGAGTCAGACAGTGTCACAGTGTGAAGCGAAAAACTGGTTTGTCTCTCTGTCTTCAGTTCATGTCAGACTTATGAAGCTCTTCGTAAAATAAAATAAAAAAAAGAACACCCTTCTGAAACCACATGTTGCCATTTTGGATTTGTGTACCTTTGGTCATCTGACATGATGACAGTCGGATCAGTCAGCTCCTCTCCGACTCCTGTCGACAATATAAAGCAGAGATATGATCAAAACAAATAAAGAGGGAAGAGAAAAAATAATCCATTTGCATGTCATATATAATCAAAAATACTAAAACGCTTACCTTGTATGTCAAGCACCAGCATTTCTCTGCGTGAATACTCATATGTCCAGTGGGAAAATGCCAGTAGCATGTCCTCTAATGAACAGCAGGGGGCAATCTCTTCCCCTGTGTTGTTATTGTACTTCCTGAAGTTACCGATCAAGTTTCTCTCAATAGTCAACCACTGGCCGTTAGAATGCCGAAGCACCAGGGAAACATCTAGAAATCTAGCAGAAAGGGAGAAAGGTCAGTTCATGCAGACACATGCACTTATAGGTGGGATTCAGAGAACACACACACCTTGGTGAATGATGCATATCTTTGGGTTTGATCTGGTTAAACACTTGCATCATCTTCTGGGCTGCTCTCTGCTGCTGGATCTCCTTCAGGATGTTAAACATGCTATATATTACAAAGCTAGAGCATATAAGATTAACTTTTGGTAATCTTTCAGCAATGTCTTGATTAAATGCTCCAAAGATAGTTTTGGAAAAGTACCCTTAAACAGAGCTGCAGCGCAGTGCTCCCATGGAAGTACCTCTGCCAAGCACGGATCACCTCTGGCTTAAAGGCTTTGACTACGTATATCTGACCAGGCTGGAGCACGTCCTGCTCTGCCCAGGTGCACAGCATTCTGCTGCCCTGTCGGAGACCGCCGTCCAGGGAACCCTCCTCGCTAGAGAGCGGCTTGAGCATCGCAGACTGGACCCGCGACGACCAGGAAGAGACAGAGCTGGACTCAGGCTCGGCTTTAGAGCAGACTTCCTCCAGAAAGTACACGCTCACTTCTTCACCTCCTGTGAAAGCAAAAAGTTAATGCAGTGCAAAGGCAGCAAATACAGGGAATAAAAATATGTAATAATACTATTTTTGTCAAAAAAACAGATTTTTACCCAAAATGGAAACAGGAGTAAACGGGATGTTGTGAGCCAGTCTCATCAGATTGTTCCTCTCCATAGCTTATAATGCAGAGACCGACACCATTAAAACAAAATTTAAAAAAACATCTTTTAAACTTGCCACATAAAAAAGTGTTGATATATTATTTTCATAATACCTGAAAAGTGTGGGTACAGATTGTCACTGGACTGGAAGGAGGAACTCCTGGCTGCAGCAAGCAAGATAAAAAAAAAAAGAAACATTACAATGTAAATCCAGCATGTACTAAAGATTATACATAAATAAACAGTGACTACACAATACATGTATGGAATGATAAGAAATACCTTCTGGTGCAAATCCGCTCTGCAAGCTACAAGAGAAATGTTAAATATATACGTTTATATATTTTTTTTTATTATTCCAATTAACTCTGAAAGAAAAGCTGAAGCAGAGACTTACGAAGACCTGTGGCTCATTGATTTGGCACAGCTGTTTCGAACTGAATGAGTCGAACTCCACATCTCCTGAAAAACAAAAGACCAAAAACCATCGTTCAGGTGTTGTATTTCCAACAGCGACTCGATATAAACTTAGAGAGGATTTACCTGATGGGAAATCACCTGCTTCTGCATCAAATCAGTGGGCTCAAAATCTGAAACAATATTTATACCAAACTATATATTTTTTAAAAAGTATTAAAAATAAAGAGCAAAAATACAAATCATATTTATATATTAAACCAAATCGAAAACCTTTATTCTATTCACTAACTAGGTCACTTCTTCAGGCAACTGGTTCCACTGGTTTTTTATTTAAATGTATCATAATAAACTTTCCAGAAGCCTGTTCACAATAATCCATTACTTTGAGCTGGTTGTGTCGGTGAATGTAGACCCTTACAGAGCTGACTAAGGCTGGTTGAAGCTGACCAACACGTGGGCTCTCCAGCAAACCTCCGCCGTTTTCTCCACAA